GGTTTTGGGGGGTCCTGTGGGGATTTTGGGGTCCCTTTGGAGGGGTCCTGAGGAGTCCTTTTGGGGTCCCTTTTAGGGCATCCTGAGTGGATTTGGGGGTTCCTGGGGGTGATTTTCGGGTTCCTGGGTGAATTTTGGGCTCCTGGGTGAATTTTATGGTCACCCCCAAGTGTTGGAGTGCCCCAATTCCCTCCCCTGCAGGCTCTGCTCCGGCCCCACAGCCCCCATTTGGGATTACGTCATCCGCCACGTCCGGAACCAGCGGTGAGGGGGGACCCCAACATTAGGGAGGGTGAAAAACCCCAAAAATTGAAAGGGGACCCCAAAATTTAAGGGGAAAGAGGGGGAGGTGCTTTTCGGGACTACAGCTCCCATCATCCCCGCACCCTAGTGAGTTCCATTATAGCCAAGCCTACAGCTCCCATCATCCCCCGCGCCCCACTGAGTTCCATTATAGCCAAGCCTACAGCTCCCATCATCCCCCGCGCCCTACTGAGTTCCATTATAGCCAAGCCTACAACTCCCATCATGCTCCACGCCCCATTGAGTTTCATTATAGCCGGCCTACAGCTCCCATCACGCCCCGCGCCGCTCATAGAGCATCATTGCAGGCCCCACCCCTCTGAACTACAGCTCCCATCATGCCCCGCGCCATTTTTCCCGCTCTTTTTCCCGGTTCTCCCCTCACAGAATTTTTGGGGTGTCCTCACAGGAACGCGAAGAAGATCCGAGGAAATCTGCGCTTATATCCGAAATTTTGGGGGGTCCTCAAAAATTTGGGGGTTCCTGGGATAGAAAATTCTGGAAACCCCAAAATTTGGGGTGGGGGTGCCCAAATTTGGGGGTTCAACCTTAAATTGAAGGGGAGATTTTTGGGGAATCCCCAAATTGTTCCTTAAGTCGGGGTTCAGGTATGGGCACCTGCAGGAGCTGGAGGTGAGTGAACCCCAAAACCTGAGTGGGAACTGGGGTCAGATTTGGGGTGGGGAACCCAAAATTTGAGGGAGGTTCCCTCAGATTTGGGGACATTTTGGGGAAATTTTGAGATTTTTGGGGAATTTTCAGGAATTTTAAGGGATTTTTTGGATTTTGGGGGATTTTTTTGGAGGGGATTTGAGGGAATTTTGGGGGGTCCAGGGGAGTTTTGCAGCTTGAAATGGGATTTTTTTTGTGGGCGAAATGCAAAATTTTTGGAGAATTTTTTTGGGTTTTGTGGGAATTTTGGGAGGGATGTGGGGGGTTTGGGGCATTTAAAAGTGATTTTGGGGGAGAATTTTTGGGGGAATTTTGAGGATTTTTTGCGGGATTTTGGGGATTTTTCAGGGTTTTTGTGAAATTTTGGAAAAGACTTTGGGGAGTTGTTGGGATTTTTTGACAATCTCAGGGATATCTGGGTGAATTTTGGGGGGAATTCAGGCGGATTTGGGGTCCATTTTGAGCCTCATTTTTGTGGGATTTTGGGGGGTATTGGGAATTTTTGGGGAGAATTTTGGGTGATTTTTTGGGATTCTTTTTGGGATTTTTTGGGGAGTTTTGTGGATTTTTTAGGGAATTTTTTGGGGAATTTTTTTTTGAATGTTTGGGGATTTTTGGATATTTGGAAATTTTCAGGGGTTTTGGGAATTTTGAAAAAGATTTTGGGATTTTTTGACAATCTCAGGGCTACTTAAGGGAATTTTGGGGTGAATTTGGGAGGATTTAGGGTCAATTTTGAGCCTCATTTTTGTGGAATTTTGGGGTTTTGGGGAGTTTTTGAGGGAATTTTGTGGATTTTTTGGGGGGAATTTTGGTGGAATTTTTGGGGGGAATTTTAAGGATTTTTTTGGGGGGCAATTTTTGGGATTTTTTGGAGGATTTGAGGCCATTTTACCCTAATTTTTGTGGAATTTTTGGGTTCTTTTGTGGAGTTTTCCCATTTGTTTGGGAGTTTTGGGTGTCATGAGAACCCTGGGCCCAATCTCAGGGATATTGGGGTCAATTTTGGGTGAATTTTGGGCTGAGTTTGGGTGGATTTGGGTCCATTTTGAGCCTCGTTTTTATAAAATCTTGGGGTTTTGGGGGGAATTTTGGGAATTTTTTTGAGCCTCGTTCTTATAAAATTTGTGGGGATTTTTGGGGGGAATTTTGGAGAGTTTTTGAGGATTTTTTTCAGGGAATTTTGGGGTCAATGTTGAGCCTCATTTTTGTGGGATTTTGGGGAATTTTTTGTGGGATTTTTCTCGGTTTTTTGGGAGTTTTGGGTATCGTGAGGACGCTGGGCACAATCTCAGGGATATTGGGGTGAATTTTGAGCTGAATTCGGGCAGATTTGGGCCACTTTTAACCCTCGTTTTTGTGGAATTTTGGGGTTTTTAGTGGGATTTTCTCAATATTTTGAGAGTTTTGGGTATCGTGAGAACCCTGGGCACACTCCCAGGTACATTTGGCTGAATTTTGGCTGAATTCTGTCCCTTTTGGGCCCGTTTTGGCGCAGGCCGCTCCGGCTCGGCCGGGCCAGCAGGGGGCGCTGCGCGCGGCCGTGGAGCGGCTCCGGAAGGAGGTGCGGGACCTGGGGGACGCCATTGCGGATGCACAGGAAACGGCGCAGCGCCTCGGTGAGTCCGGCCGGAAATGCGGGCCCCGCACAAATGTTCCTACCCTCAAAACCTCAATTTCAGGGGCTCCCCAACCCCAAATTTTGGGGTCCGCGCCATTTTTGGGGTCTCATGATGCCTCTAAGTCCCAATTTTGGGGTCCTCACCACAAATTTGGGATTCCTTGCCCACTCAAAACCCCAATTTTGCAGTCCCTGACCTGCCCCTAACCCCAATTTTGGGGTCCCTGAACACCCCAGACACCAAATTTGGGGTCCCCACCCCTAAATTTTGGGATTCCCCCAATTTTTATGGTCCCAGAACCTCTGAACCCCAATTTGGGGTCCCTTTCCCCAATTTTAGGGTCCCAGCACCCCCAAAAAAACCCTCAACTTTGTGGTCCCATGTCCTCCTGGACCCCAATTTTGGGGTCCCTGAGCCACTAAAGCCCCAGTTTGGCATCTTCACCCTAAATTTTGGGGTCCCCTTTCCCAATTTTGGAGTCCCTGGACCCCCCCCCCAACCCCAATTTTTGGCTCCTTACTGTATTTTGGGGTCTCTACCCCCAAATTTTTGGGTCCACCTGATTTGCAGTGTCCCAGAACTCCCATAATCCCGGTTTTGGGGTTCCTGACCCCCCCTAAACCCCAGTTTTCGAGACCCATCCCCAATTTTGGAGTCTCAGAAACCCCCAAACCCCAATTTTTCTCCAAGCCCTAAATTTGGGGACCCGTTCCCCCTTTTTGAGCTCCCAGGACCACCAAAACCCCAAATCTGGGGTCTCTGAACCCCCAAAACACAAATTTTGGGGTCCCTTCCCCATTTTTAGGGTCTCTGATTGAGGCCAAACCCCAATTCTGGGATCCCTGATGAACTCAAACCCGAATTTTGGGGTTCCATGTTCTCCTAGTCCCCAATTTTGGGGTCCCCTTCCTCAATTTTGGGGTCCCTGATCCCCCTAAATCCCAATTTTGGGGTCCCCTTCCCCAATTTTAGGGTCTCAGACCCCCCCTGGACTCCAATTTTGTGGTCCCTACCCCCAAATTTTGCGGTCCCTTCCCCATTTTTAGGGTTCCAGACCCCCCCTAAACCCCAAATTTGGGGTCCCTTAACCCCCCAAACCTCAATTTTGGGGTCCCCATCCCCATTTTTAGGATCCCTGAGCCCCCAAAACCCCTATTTTGAGATTCTCACCCCCAAATTTTGAGTTCCTCCCCCAATTTTGGCGTCTCGTGACCCCCCCAAACCCCAAATTTGGGGTCCCCTTCCCCAGTATTTTGGGCCCCAGGATCCCCCCAAACCCCAAATTTGGGATCCTCACCCCAATTTCGGGGTCCCTTCCCTCAGTTTCGGGGTCCCAGACCCTCCAGACCCCAAATTTGGAGGTTCTCACCCCAAACCTTTGGGGTCCCCCTTTCCCCCCCAGACGCCTCGCTGGAGGAGGCGCAGAGCCGGCGGTGGGCGGAGCTTCAGCGAGGGGCGGAGCTTCGGCTGCTGGCGGCGGAGCTTCAGCGAGGGGCGGAGCCGGGCCCGGCTGGGCTGCGGGACGGCCACGAGGGGGCGCTGAGGGCAATCCATAAAAGGCAAAAGGGGCGGGGCCTGAAGGGGCAGGGTGGAAGGGGCGGGGCCTTGCAGTGTTTCCTTATATGGGCAATGGGGGAACTTAGGGGATTTTTAGATTTTTTGGTCCCTGACTGAATTTTGGGGACCTTCAGGGGATTTTGGGTGATTTTTGAGGGGATTTTGGAGGATTCTCTGGGACTTGGGAGGATTTTGAAGGGTTTTCAAGAGATTTTTTTGTGTCTCTTGGGGATTGTGAGGAGATTTTGGGGCATTTTGAGGAGAATTTGGGGTCCCTGAAGCGTTTTTTGAGGATTTTGGGTTCCTGAGGGAATTTTGAGACAGTTTGAAGGGTTTTGAGGGGGATTTTGTGTTCCTACTGGGACTTTGTGAAAATTTGAAGGGTTTTGATGAGGTTTTGGGGTCCGTGAGGGGATTTTTGAAGAATTTTGTGGTTCCTGAGGGGATTTTGGGCTCCCTGGTGGGAATTTTCAGATTTTGGAGGATTATGAGGAAATTTTGATCAGATTTTTGGGTCTCTGAGGTGATTTTGTGGGATTGTGAGGCAATTTTGGCTTTCTGGGGGGATTTTTGGGGTTCCTGAGTGGATTTGGGGTTTCTGAGGGGATTTTTTTGGCATTTGGGGAGATTTTGGGGGGACTTGAGGGATTTTGGGGGGACTTTGTGTTCCTAAGGGGATCTGGGGGGATTTTGAAGAAATTTTGAGAGGTTTTGGTTGATTTTGAGAAGACTTTGGGTTTCTTGATGGGATTTTTGGAGTTCCTTAGTGGATTATGGGTAAATTTGGGGGATTTTGGGGCATTTTGAGGAGATTTTGGATATTTTAAAAGACTTTTGGGTCCCCTCAGGCCGGGCCAATCCCGGGAGGAGCTGTCGGCCATCTTGGCCGCAGGGGCGGAGCCCGAAGTGCTGGTGAGTGGCCGGGGCCTGACATGGTGGGCAGGGCCTGGAGACCATTCAGGGACCCCAAAATCAGCTCAGGACCCCCCAAAATTCCCCCAAAATCAGCCCAGGACCCACCAAAAATCCCCAAATTCCCCCAACCCCTCCCCCTCTGCAGGTGTCAATCAAGGCCCTGTGCAAGGCCAGGGAGGCGGAGCTCCAGAGGCCACACCCACACAGGTAAGCCACACCCCTTCCTCCTTAACCCCCAATTAACCCCTCAATTAATCAATTAATTAATGAACCTCAGAGCTGCCAATCATCCCGGGAAGGCTCAGGAGGCTCCAGATTGGTCAGAACAAGCTGAGGTGGGCGTGGCTGGCTGGGGGAGGGGGCGTGGCTCTGCTCAGGCCACGCCCTCTGCTCTGACACGTGACGCCCCCTACAGGCTGTACTGATTGGCCACAGCCCAGAGGCGGTGCTTTGGGCGCTGGAGGTCCTGGCCAATCAGAGCACAAGGTGGGTGGGGCCTGAAGGAGTGGGTGGGGCTTAAAGGGGAGGAAGTGGTCAAAAGAATGGGAGGGTCTTAAAGGGGTGGGTGTGGCTTAAAGGGATGGGTGGGGCTTAAAGTGTGGGTGTGGCCTAAGAGGGTGGGTAGGGCTTTAATATGTGAGGGGGGCTCAAAAGGTTGGTGGGGCTTAAAGAGGTGGGTGGGGCTTAAAAGGGTCGTTGGGGCTTAAAAGGGTGGGTGGGGCTCAAAGGGATTAGCTGGATTTAATGGTGGGTGGGGCTTAAATATGTGGGTGGGACTTAAATTGTGATTGGAGCTTAAATGGATTGAGTGGGCTTAAAAGGGGTGGGTGTGGCATAAGTGGGTGGAGCTTAAAGGGTGGGTAAGGCTTAAAGGGATGGGTGGGTGGGGCCAAAAGCATGGGTGGGGCTTAAATAGGTAGGTGTGGCTTAAAGGGAATAGGTGTGGCATTAAGGAGTGGGTGAGGCTTAAAAGAATGGGTGGAGCTTAGGGGAGTGGGTCGGGCTTAAAGGAATGGGTGGGTCCTAAAGAGGTGGGTGGGGGCTTTAAAAGGTGGGTGGGGCTTAAAGGGATGGGTGTGGTTTAATGAGAATAGGTGGGGCTTAAAGGGGTGGTTGGGGCTTAAATGGGTGGGTGGGCTTAACGGGACAGGGTGGGGCTTAAATGGTGGGTGGGGCTTAAAGGAATAGTCAGGGCTTAAAGGGGTGGGTGGGGCCAAAATGAATGGGTGTGGCTTAAAGATGTGGGTGGGGCTTAAAGAGGTTGGTGGGACTTAAAGGGATTAGGTGCATTAAATGTTGGGTGGTGGGTAAACAGAGAGGTATAGCTTAAATGAGTAGGTGTGGCTTAAAGGGATGGGTGGGGCATAAACATAGGTGGGTGGGGCTTGCAGACATGGGTGGAGCTTAAAGGAGCGGGCAGGGCTTAAAGGAATTGGTGGGGCTTAAATGAGTGGGTGGGGCTTAATGGAACAGGCTGGGCTTAAATGGAGTGTGTGGGGCAGAAGAGGTGGGTGTGGCCAAAATGACTTGATAGGGCTTAAATGGGTGGGGCTTAGAGGGGTCGGTTGGGCTTAAAGGGGTGGGTGGGGCTTAATGCAGTGGGTGAATTTTAAAGAGGGGGGTGGAACTTTAAAAGGTGGGTTGGGCTTAATTGCATGGGTGTGGCCTAAAGATGTGGGCGGGGTTTTAAGATGTGGGTTCAGGCTTGAAGGGATTGGGTGGGTTAAATGTTGGGTGGGGCCTAAACAGAGGGGTGTGGCCTAAGTGGGTGGATGTGCCCTAAATGGGTGGGTGGGGCTTAAAGGGATGGGTGGAGCTTAAAAGGGTGGGTGGGGCCTAAGTGGGTGAGTGGAGCTTAAAGAAGTGGGTGGGGCTTAAAGGGATGGGTGGGGGGTTAAAGGGGCGGGCAGGCCTTAAGGGGGGGTGGGTGGTGGCTTAAGCAGTGGGTCGGGCTTAAAGGGATTGGCAGGGCTTAAGGGGGTAGGTGTGGCCTAAAGGGGGTGTGTTGGGCTGAAAGGGATTGAGCAGGGCTAAAATGGGTGGGGCTTAAAGGAGTGGGTGGGGATTAATCGAGTGGGGTGTGGCCAAACGAATGGGTGGGGCTTAAAGAAGTGGGTGTGGCCAAAAGGGATGGGTGTGGCCTAAGTGGGTTGGTGGGGCTTAATGGGGCAGGAGGGAATTTTGGGGGTTTTTAGGACATTTTGGGGTCCCTGAGGGGATTTCTGGTGCTGTTGGGGGGCGTGGCCTCACACCTGTCAATCACAGAGCTCTCCTGGCTGGCCTCGCCCCCCTCAGCCGAGGCCCCGCCCACCCTGAAGAGCCTCCTGCAGGTGAGGGGGGAGGGGAACGGGGTTGGGGTTGAAATTGGGGATTTTGGGGCTTCTTGGGGTCAAAATTTCAGATTTTGGGCCTTTTTGGGGGTCATAATTTCAGATGAGGGATTTGGGGCTTTTTGGGGTCAAGATTTTGAATTTGGGGGATTTTGGGGGGGAGGTGGGGATTTCTTGGGTCAGAAATTTGCATTTTGGGGGATTTTTTGGGGACTTGAGGGATTTTGGGAAATTTTAGGGTTGGGATTTGGGGTTTTTGGGGGGATTTTGGCAATTTTGGGGTCAGGACTTGGGGTTTTGGGGTGAATTTGGGGTTTTTGGGGTCCCTGAATCTATTTTTTGTGTCCCTGAGGTATTTTTGGGGTGGATTTGGGATTTTTGGGGTGGATTTTGAGGTATTGGTGGGTTTTGGGGCAGATTTTGGGGTT